CTCTCTCTTTCTCTCTCCGCCCGCAGACAACATTGTTCGCTTTCAACTCAGCGCTGGAACGTTTGTTTACACTCGTATCACGGGCCGTCACACACTAAGACAAGGTCGCGCCCAAGTCTCGCTCGGACGCGAGATAGGGCAATTGAAACATATTGGTAGTAGAGAATCGTTATTAACATCACAACACAGCATTTCTATTTTTACATGATTTTGTCACCGGCATTCCGATGAATAATAATAAAGAGTGATAGGTGATAGATCTAGATCTAGTCAACTCGCGAGGGAAGTCCCGGAGAAAGTTGTATTGGAAAATAGCACAAGTTGCAAAAAAGTTGCAAGAAAAATGAGAAATCCCCACTGGGCAGTAGCGTCAGACTAATCCACCGAATTCGTTCGAGTTGCGAAACGCTAGCCACCCCAGATCGGGCGGCTAGCACCGGCCTTATTCTTATATATTGTTTCTAAACACTTTGTCAGTGCTCATGTTTTCTCATACCGGTACTTACTCGAACGCATTTCTTGGAATAACAGCTGGCTTATGCCAGGAATGTGATTCCCCAAATCCCGACACATTACTATGTACTATATAAGATCCATGTAGTAACTAGATCTTCAAAAGTATTATCCCATAGAGCTTTAGCAAAGCACATATGTGAATTTTAATATTTTAGACCGAGAACTGTCATGGCCACCGCTCTTTGTTTTTTATTCAAAATTTCACCGCGCTGGTGCGCACCACGGGTACGCACAACACCAGCCTAGTTATATTATAAGTAATTACATGTAGAAGTCTATGGAGTAAATACACGATAAGGGTCGTTTGGACTTGGAGCAATCCCTGCCCCGCCCCTCCTTCAAAATTTTAAAAAGAACTTGGCGCTCTCCTACTAGCCACACTAAATACTCTCTCTCTCTCTCTCTCTCTCTCTCTCTCTCTCTCTCTCTCTCTCTCTCTCTCTCTCTCTCTCTCTCTCTCTAAGAGTCTCTTTCTTTTTCAATTTCACTAGCGGTGATGAGGACATTTTGTTTCGTTTCTGAAAGGTTCTGTAGACCTATACATGTACTATAATCTAACTTTGCTCCTTATTTTCAGTTTTAAACATAAGCATCCTTTATTCTATGAACAGTGAACAGAGCTTTGTCAAAAAGCTACTCGCACATGAATTCCGTAAATCTAATTTGGAATTTCACTTGACCTTCTGCTAACTTCTAGAAACAAAATTTCGATGTCATTCTACTCAGGTATTACTGTCGATGAGGGAACTTCGCTGTTCTTACTCGTCGTTGGTGTGCCGGTAATAAATCAACAGGCCTACTTTGCACAGGGGTAGTTGTGGATACTCTCGTGCCATCAGCCCCTTTAATTTCCTTTCATCGAAGTCCTAATCTGCCCCAAACAAAATTTGACCATTATTTTTATTGATTCAGGTAAGTTGAAACACAACTCCCCCCCTGCCCACTTCCCGTCCACACATAAAGGGCTATGTTCAGCGTCATCTGACTCAGGAGAAGGCGTGGCTGGAGTGAAGTGCCACGCCCTGTGTGGGTTTGGAGGCCATGATCCGGGAGAGAGTGTTCATACCTCGCTTCACCTTGTAGCGGAACACCCAAGGCAGCTCTCTGAAACATACAATAAACGAGGTAACTCTCTGAAACACACTTTAAACGAGGTAACTCTCTGAAACACACAATAAACGAGGTAACTCTCTGAAACACACAATTTAATGAGGTAACTCTCTGATCCCCCCCCCCCACACACACACACACACACACACACACACACACACACACACACACACAGAAGCTCATACCAAAGTTTATAAAGTAACATTAATAACGACTAGAGCAGTAAAAAGTCCGTTTTTTATAAAGTATTTTAAAAAGAAGTAGGAAAGATTTAAATCCATGATACGAACACATGTACAGACTCTAGGCTTACAGACAAACATTTTGCTTTGGAATGTATACCGTCGCCGTACGGTAACCACACGATTATTGGATATTCATATTTTGATAAAAATTTACAGATGGACTATTTCAGAATAACTACCATAATAACAAAGTTCACTTTGATCAATAAAACTCCATACATGTTTTTACAATGCCTATGTGATCATGAATAAAAACCTTGTGAAAGAAAACAGTTTTTGTTCTCCTATAAACTGTAAGATAATGTAGCCTTCCATGTATTTAAGCGCCGCTTTGCGGCATACAGCAGTGGGCGATTTTGTGATTTGTACTTTTGGTGAGCGATGGGGATCAGGCGGGTAGTGCCAGATATTATTTAATTCAAAGGTCCCGGGTTCACATCTGGGTAGCCACGGAAACATTTTCTTCTCTAAAATCGTCTCCTTTCACCTCCTTTCCTGCTCTCAAGCAATGTTCTGTTGTCTGCTTTCGTCTCCACTTTCTGCCCCCACCCCCTCACCGCCTTTAATTGCCCCATCCTCTGGGCTCCTGACACTACTGCTGTCTTTCAGCCACACCCCTAATCTTCTGGTAGGAAAGATCTACATCTCGCTTCTTGGACAAAGGCAAAAAAATCTCGGAGGTCCATGTGCAAGCTGCGCACGTTAAATATCCCTTGGTGGTCTAAAACCGATAAGAGTAGGCTTCGGCCGTCACCCGGGTGGACACTATGAATAGCCCCCTAAAGGTGGAGAAAGTGAGCGCTAGTTGTGCAAAAGGTTGACAAACTCTGGTATACGGCGACGATTTGGAGTTTGCGGGACTGACCTTTTGGGCAAGACTTTCTTGGGCGGTGGGAGGATGCTGAGGTCATCACAGTCCGTGCTGGAGGTGAGCAGGATGTCCGGGTTGTGGATATGGTCGTCTACGTCATCGCCGGTCACCGCCAAGTCCTGGGGGATGCTTGTGCTAAAGTCGATGCTCTGGCTTGTCTCTAGAAGGGGGAGGGGGTGTATGAATTTGGGAACCATTTATTTATTTATACCACGTTTGATACATTTTAGATCATTTTGATGGCGCTCTCCTTTGACCCTCTCTGTCAAGGACAACCCTGGCTGAGTTGGATAGTGGGATGCAACATCATGGTAGACATGGAGACAATGAATTTACCTCCTCTCCCCCCTCCAACCCCTCCCCCCCACCCACTTGGGAATCGAACTGAAATCTTTTGTATGTGACAGCAAAGCACCACAGACGCCAATAAACGCACAGATAATAGCACACACAAACAAGTAACCAAACACACACATACGCTCGTACATAAACAAACAAACAAACCAGTATGTCAACAAACGCACGAACTGCCTACCCTTCAGGTTGTCCGCTGGCCGGCTGGTGGACCCCGCGGACTTGGCCGGATGGGGCGGGACGGAAGAGGAAGCGGCCGACTTGGTCAACGTCCTCTTGGCCTGACTGTTGCCATGGAAACTGACGCTGTCTACAGCCGACATCTTGGCGGACGGGAGGGTGCGAGAGGTGGAGAGCTGGGCCGGCGTGGAGCCTCGGCCCACGTGGAAGAAGTGGTGGGTGGTGGGCGTGTGGGACAGGGGCTGCAGGTGGAGGCGGGAGCCCGGACTGCGAACACTGGACGCCTGGAAGGGAAACAGGACGATACATGGGGCTTGACCTAGTGAGAAAGCCTAGGGCTTGGCTTATACTTTACTATTCTGAAGTCTCGTATGTTAGGCGCAGGTGCAGTGTTCTATGCTGTGCTGTGCTGTGCTGTGCTGTGCTGTGCTGTGCTGTGCTGTGATGTGATGTGATGTGGTGTGCCGTGCTATGCTGTGCTGTACTGTACTGTGGTGGGGTGTAGTGGGTTGTGGCATGGTGTCATGTGGCGGAACGGGGTGAGAAGTTTTGTGGTGTAGTTAATGTAGTATGATATGGTGCTGTACAGTTTGGAAAAAAGTGGATTTAGCCTATACAAATAAAAAAGGTTATTCAACAATCCTGAACTTCGAACTAACTGACCATCTCCAGTATAAGATTGAGCCAAGTTGGCGGAGGGCGTGGAGAATTCCCTAAACAATCGTAGTTCAAGAAAACCCTCTGGAGAATCGAACCAGCTTAACTGAGAAGTTGGCGTGCTCAAGTGAACACCAGCAAATCAGTATCGGAAAGGTGTAAACGATGCGGTCAGGTGGCAGCTCATTTTTATTCAGAGCAACATACAGGAGCAGATTTAATTTACTCACACAATTAAAGTTTCTTATTGCCACTGACAGTGTCATTGGCTGATATCATATTTAGCCTAATGTAGATATGACCCTGTGAGTAGTGTGAGGGTGGTCTTGAAAACAGTAATGGCTACCTCCACCCTCTCCTCCAACAAACAAACGGTGGCAGCAGCAGCAACAGCAGCAACAGCAGCAACAACAACATCGACAACAACAGCAGTAGCAGCAGCTACAACAACAACAGCAACACAACAACAACAAAGCCCCCCAAAAGCAAAACAAAACAGAACAAAACAGAACAAAGAATGAAAAAGGCGAAAAACCGAAAGTCGAACAATAGGGCAGGAAAGGGGTCAGTAGGTACTACAAACTTTAAGCCACATTTCTCATTGGTTGCATTGATACGACTTCATTTGGAGGGACGGG